AAAAATAATTGTTTTTATTATTTTTAACCAATTTTTAAACCGCTTTCCAAGTCCCTATTTTTTATACCTATCATGAGCATGAAATGGTATTATAACTTTTGTCCGATGTTTGTAAGTACCAGAACAAAAAGAGATCATTATTAACAGAATACTTACAGTAAAAATAACAAGGATCGGGTGAATACAACATATATCTTCCATACGTCTGATTGTTCAGATATGGGATTTTACTGTAAAACTACTTTATTTGAACAGCTAAAACCGTTAAATTTCGTAAGATATTTTATAAATAATAATACAAAGTCTACTGAGAAAATCGTCAAAATCTATGCTGTATATGCTTTATCTCCTATAGCACTGATTGTTCAGATACCAGTTTTTGCGATATATCTCCTTTATGTAGGAAACTAAACCCAATAAATTGTGTTACCGGTTTATATACCGATCACATAGCAGTGAAAATCATTTAGATTGGTGTCATATAAAGTATATCTTCCATACCTCTGATTGTTTAGATGCGATTTTTTATATAAGTATGTAACTCCTCTATCGATGTATGCAGATGTATTCAAAAGCAGTAATCTGTCAAAGTAAAATTTGCAGATGTTCATGAAAGGTATGAAGCCTTCGGCATAGCCGAAGACAGCGCTGCTCTTACTTGTTTTTTAAATAAGGCTGTTTAAACAAAAAACAATTAAACGACGAAATCAAAAACAGTTTTAATGCACAAAACAAGCCAAACGGGAAATTATGTAACAAAAAAATTTATTGTTTTTATTATTTTTAACAAATTTTTAAACCGCTTTCCAAGTCCCTATTTTTTTTAAATAAGGCTATTTAAACAAAAAACAATTAAACGACAAAATCAAAAACAGTATTCGCAGCGTGCAAGAGGGCTGCGTTAGTTGTGGGCAACGGAGCGGCGGATATCGGGTGGCACTGGCTGGAGGATATGGGCGACTGGAAGGCGATGCGTTGTCTTCCCTTGAAGGTATAGATGCTGCTCCGGGGGTTTTCTGCTCGACTGGCTGGGGTCACCGCTGGTGGTGTTGCAAATCGATAGCTACGTGCTATATTGCACCTGCAGAATGCTTGGTTGCTTTCCTGGTTGTTTCGGCTACGCAAATGCCGAAAGTACTCCACACTTCTATGCTTTTGGTTTTCACACGCGTAAACTACTTTCGCTTGTAGGTGTTAAGAAAATACTTTGTTTTGTCTCACAATTTAGGTACAATTTATTTAATTAGTTCAAAAGAGGTTTATTTAATTAATTCACAAGAGGCACCACCGTACAATATGAAAATCTAACCTTCATTAATTTTCTTATTTTTTTTTTACATATATATTTATATTTTGACAGCCGGCGATCGTTCAAGTGAGCGAGTAGCGCACGCGTTGCCAACTACCCGGTTGGCTGATAGGGGTGTTCCCGTTGCGAGCTAATNAAAGTTACAATTCGTAGAAATATTTCAAGTCTAGCTAATTCAATAAATACAAATGGTTAATGCGGTGTGCGTGCGCTAGTCACTCACTTGAACATCCTGCCCCGCCTAGGCGCGCTAGACGGCTAGTGCCACTTTCAACTGCTCCAGCGCTCTAATGGCCTCATCCATAAGTCGATTTGCCGTCTTTTCTCGGAATTCAGCGGTATGGAGCCCTGTTGCCGAACGTTTGACGGTTCGTGGTTGTGGAATGGCGGCTGCAGTCGGATTGTAGCGATGGGTAGGTGGGTTGCGACGATTTTGTTTTGCGTTTGAGCGGGATGCAGGTGTCGAAGGTGTTTGAGTTGGAGGTGCGGTGGTACGGCGATGTGGCTGTGGTGGCGGCGGGGCCCGATGAAGCATCGTGTGGTGCGGCAGTGCACATATCCTGCACGTGATCTGGGATGTGCATTCGCTGGTAGCGTGCGACAGTGCCAGACAGTTGGTGCAGTAGTTATGGGCCCGCGCCAACAAGTACCGCTGCGCTGGCTGCATCCTTCTAAAGAGCGGGCATGTTCGTAGCGCGTGGTGACGTGCGCAAACTCGGCACTTCTGATAATCAGGGTTTGGGCGCCCCCCGCGGTCGCTAGCGGCCACAAACACCTGCGAGCGGAGTGAAGTTCTTGGTGCTGGTGTGGGTGCTGAATCCATTCACGCCTGTAAATAGTTGTGTAGATATATAATTTTAGTGGGACGTATATCGAGTATCGTGGGTCATGAGACAGAGAATGATATAATTGTTATTTTGGAGAAAAGGAGCGTATGGTGATTGGAGGAGAGACAAATTTACGATCAAGCGGTTTGTGGTATAAGTGGTAACGAATCACGATGATGGTGTAGGGTTACTTGGTCGCACTGGGACTGAGTTGAAGTTCGGCAGGTGGCAAAAAACATAATTTAACTATCGGCCGTGTGAGAATGCCGGTTTGAGTGCGTACCTCGACAACACGAATGTGGCCATCTGGGCCGGGCCGTGTCCTTTCGATGCGTCCGAGGCGCCACTCAGTGGGCGGGGTTCGATTCAGGAAGAGACAACAGGCGGGATCCCTTAAGGAAATGTCCGANGATTAAGTAGAGATAAGTTTTCATGGTTCGATTCAGGAAGGGATCCCCCCTCCCTTAAGGAAATGTCCGAGGGTGAGTGCGGTAAAATCTGAGGGGTCCTGAGATAGGGGAGAGATGGGTCGTGAGTTTAACACGGCTTCTATTCTGATTAATGGGGTAGTAAACTCTTCGAAAGTGAATTTATGTGATCCGGCAGTCTTCTTGAGATGCGTTTTGAAGCTTTTAACTGCGGATTTCCATAAACCACCCATATGAGGGGCGCTGGGGGGAATACATTTCCGGTTTATACCTTGAGCGGCATATTTTTTGACGATTTCCCGGGATACTTCTTTCGAGAAGGTGATAAACTCCTTCTCAGTGGCTCTTTTGGCGCCGACAAAGGTTTTGCCGTTGTCACTCATCATTGCGGCGGGATAGCCTCGCCGGCCAACAAAGCGAGCAAATGCGGCCAGAAAGGCCTCTGAAGTTAAATTCGAGCACAACTCAAGGTGAACCGCTTTTGTCGCGAAGCATACAAAAACGGCTACGTAGCCTTTCACGAGGGTGGGCGATGTTAGCATAGAAGTCTTCAGCTGAAAGGGGCCAGCAAAATCAACACCCGTTGTGGTGAAGGGCGGAGCGAAGGTGCATCGTGAGGGTGGCAAGGCTGCCATTATTTGTGAGCGCATTTGCTGATTGTGGACAGTGCAGGGTTTGCATTGAAAGATGCACTTCTTTATGAGTGGCTTGAGCCGAGGGATATAAAACTCCTGTCTGATCGCCTGCTGCATAAGACGGGTTTCGGCGTGCAAGAGCAGTTCATGCAGGAAGCGTAAAAAGAGTGCAGCATATCAGGATTTCTCGGGAATAATGATGGGGTGGCGTTCATTGTAGCTTAGCGTTGAGTGCGCCAGTCGACCGTTCACACGTAGAAGTCCAAAAATGGGTTTAAGGTGAGAAGCTAACAAATTCCTATTTTCATTGGAGAAATATCGGGATTGAGTTAAGGCGATAAGCTGGTCTTTAGTGTTTCGGAAGTCATCGTGCTCCAGAGGTAAAGGGTGAGCTATTATGTGTCTTGTTCGCGTTTTCAGAGTCCGTATGAATCGAAAAACGTGAGTCAAAATCCGGAGTGCGCGTGTGAAGGAGGAGAAACGATCCAGAATGTCGGGTTCTTCTTCGGTGGTATGTAACGCTTCAATTCGGCGTACTTCGGGTGGACTGTTGATTGTGCGTCGTGAAGCTTTCGGCCAAGATTCCGCGGGGCTGGTGAGCCATTCCGGACCCTTCCACCACAGTGAGGAGGCTGCCAAGTCGAGAGGTTTACATCCTCTTGTACCCATGTCGGCGGGATTATCGTGAGTTCGTACATGCCGCCAGGTGGCATTTCCGACCAGATCGATTATTTGCGCGGTTCGATTCGATACGAAGGTTTTCCAGGTATGGGGTGGCTTTTCCAACCATGAGAGCACAATTTCGGAATCAGACCACAAAATCAAAGCTTGCGGGTGGAGATTGAGCTGGGATTGGACGACAGGGACGAGACGGGCCCCACATAATTCGAGACGTGGTAAGCTGGTGGTTTTTAGGGGAGCCACTTTGCCTTTAGAGACTAGGAGGTGACACGTTATGTTTTCTTCTCGTATCGCTCTGACGTAAATATTGGCGCAATATGCCTTCTCAGACGCGTCGCAAAAACCATGCAGCTCAACAGGTTGGCCTGGAGAATAGTTCACCCAACGAGGAATTTGGATTGCTGGTATGGCTTTTAAGTTGTTCGCGAACTGCGTCCACTTGACGAGACGGATGGGTTTTACCTGTTCATCCCAGTCGGTTCCATCAAGCCATAGCTCCTGCAAGAGAATTTTGGCTTGAATCATTATCGGCGCTAGCCATCCTGCGGGGTCGAAAAGTTTGGCGACAGAGGAGAGGATTTGTCGCTTCGTGCTCGCAGTGGCTACTGGGATGGACTCAACGGTATATGCGAACGCATCTTTTATATCATTCCATTGAATCCCGAGCGTTTTCGTCGTACTTGCCTTTTCGAATTCGAGAAACTGTGAATCGAGCACGTCGGCGATGGGAACGGTTTTGAGAATATCAGGATGGTTGGCCGTGATTTTCTTGAGTGTGAAGCCTGCCGACAGAAGAGCTTGTCTGACTTGAGAAAGGGATTCAGAGGCTGAGAGAATAGAGTGCCCACCCGAAAGTATGTCGTCTACATATGTTTCGTTCAATAGTATTGAGGACGCCATCGGGAGTGTGTCTTTTATATCTTTAGAGAGTTCGTGAAGGGTGCGTATTGCGAGATAAGGGGCGCAGTTGAGACCAAACGTAACGGTTTTTAGTTTGAAATCTTGAATTGGACCTTTTGGGGAGGAGCGAAATATGATTCTCTGGTAGTCTTGGTCCTCATCAAGTAATTGTATTTGGCGGTACATTTTTTCTACATCGTCATTAAAGACAAATTGGTACGTGCGCCATTTGAGGATTAATAGCATCAAATCGGGTTGGAGAGTTGGCCCGCTGTAGAGGACATCGTTTAACGAGTTACCGGAAGTTGATTTTTTCGATGCATTAAAGACAACACGCACCTTTGGCGTGGTGAGGTAAATAAAATGACGAGTATTTGTTTCCTGAGGATTTCTCATAGGAAGTGGTTTCTTCCATATGACCTAGTGCTATATATTCCTCGAGGACTTGGTCGTACTGGGATTTTAGCTCGCCTTTTTTGAGAAGATTTTTCTCCATGCTGAGGAATTGCTGGAGAGCTGGGGTGCGGGATCGACCTAAGGCGAGTTGGTCTGGGAAACTGTGCTTAAACGGGAGTCGCACTGCGTAACGACCATCAAATGTGCGTGATGTGGTGGATATATAAAAAGCTTAACACACTCGGTCCTCAGAGTTGAGAGATTTGGGAGTGGGGATTTCTTCAAGTTCCCAAAATTTTCGAAGTTGGGAATTGAGATTCTCATTTGGGACTTCGTCCACTTGGGTCGAAAACGAGCTTATTTGATTGGGAACTTGACCACTAAGGATCCACCCAAATATGGTGTTTTGTGCTAATAGGTTTTTGGAGAGTTTTTTCAACCCCTTCTAGCACGATTTGTGGGATCAGGTCGCTGCCAATGACTAAGTCTATTTGGGATGGGGAGTGGCAATTGGCGGCTGCTAAGCTGAGATGGGACCATTTTTCCCGTTGTTCTTGAGTGGGTTGGAACTTGGGTAGCAATTTGGTTAGCTGTGGGAGGACGATTGCTTGTTCTTTAATTCGTGTGGATAAATCGTTTGAGANATTGCTTGTGCTTTAATCCGTGTGGATAAATCGTTTGAGACAAGAACCAGAGAGCATAATTTTTTCGAGGTTTGGACTACCCTTCCACCCATTCCTGAGATTTCGAAATTGGAGGTTCGACATGGTAGTCTCAATTTGAGTTGCGCTTTGGAGGAGATGAAGCTCCGTTCTGAGCCCTGATCAATGAGGGCTCTTAGTTTGAAGAGTTCACCTCTGTGTTCAACGGAGACGATTGCCGTGGAGAGTAGTACTTTACTTGCATTTTCTGAGTAAAAGGATTGTACCTGGGACTTATCTGAACACGAGGGTTGCTCGTCTTGTTCATCCAGAGACTGAGGAGTTTGGAGGCTGACATTGGTGGGGGTGGTAGTTGCCACTTGAGATAAGGCCCTCTGCACTCGGGCTGTTGATGAATTTTTTGAGAGTGCGTCCTCAGTGATGAGCTGTGCCGTTCTTGGCAATGAGCACAATTGTGAGGGCTTCTGCAATCTTTAATTAAATGCGATTGAGATAAGCAGTTTAAGCACATGTGATTATCTCGCACACNTTAAATGCGATTGGGATAAGCAGTTTAAGCACATGTGATTATCTCTCACAAATTTTTTCCGATCCTGAATTGACAGTTTTTTAAAGCGAGAGCAGCTGTAAATGGGATGCTGAGAGGTTTTGCATAATGCACATTTATACATTGTGCGCTGCTCTGTCATATGAGATTGGATCTTTGGATGGGATTTATTGTGAGTGTCATGTGAATTATTGCTCTTAAATGCGTACGGGTTTTGTTTGGGGTAGCTTGTATGCAGGGGGATCGATTTAACCTTGGCTGGGCGCCATTGATCTACTCTTTCTACCACCTCATAGCGAGTAGTCAGAACTGGTTCATCCAGTTGGGGAGGTCTTTTCTGGAGATGAGAGATTGTTCCCACAGAGTTACTGTGTTCTCCGGAAGTTTGGAGGTGACCAGATAGATGAGGATGGGGTCCCAACTCTCTGTCGAAACTTGCTGGGTAGCGAGGATTTGAAGGCAGTTATTTACAGAAGATTGTAATCTCTGTATATCCTCGCTATTTTCAACTTGAATTGGTTTCAAATTCATTAGGGTTTTTATTTGGTTATCTACCAAGACTCTACGATTTTTNTGTAATCTCTGTATATCCTCGCTATTTTCAACTTGAATTGGTTTCAAATTCATTAGGGTTTTTATTTGGTTATCTACCAAGACTCTGCGATTTTCATATCGTGCTCTTAGGGCTTCCCATGCCAGTTCGAAGTTGTCATCACTTAACGGGAATTGTTTGACTATTTGGCCGGCTTTGCCTTGCGTTTTGTACCGGGGGTGGTACAACTTCTGAGCTTTTGTGAGTTTTGGGTGGTTAATGTAGACCGCGGAGAACATGTCACGGAAGGACGGCCATTGTTCATAACCACCTTAAAATATCTCAGTGTCGCAAGGAGGGACTTTTAAGCCGAAGCCAGTTTCATCTTTAGGTTGTGATGTACCGACAAGGGGAATGGGATCACTCGTTTGTTTGAGTAACAGAAGTTGGTCACCTATCTGCGCTTTTGTCTTCATACATTATAAGACAAGACCTGTATTTATTGTACGCGGCTGACTTGAAATCTTCGGGGAGATCCTGATCTTCAGTTTCTAAGACTGTATCGTAAGAGATTTGGACCCGATTCCAAAAGTTATCGCAATTATTGTCTTTTATTTTCAGACTTGACTCGGTGTTGTCTTGGATTGGGGTGGACTTGAAACGAGTACAGTAGTCCATGAAATTATCAGTTTCTGATATAAATTTGATAGCGAACGATTGCTTGGATTTCTTCGAGGTTGACTTTCCACTTGTACGCGTTGAGCGTTGGGACTCCGTGGAAGTACCTTGGGCTTTTTCATCGTCACTCATCTTTGGGCTTTTTGATTTATCTATTTGAGGGGCACCAAGCATTTATTAATTCAAGGGAAAAGGGGAGTGAGTTGATCAGTTGTGTGAAATAAAATGACCGCAATATATGTAGTGTTCGCAACACGAGAAGTAATAGAAAAATTTGTCGCTACGAAATATGTGTTCGTACCACTGTACCCGCTTGAGCAAAAAATTCAATCACCGTACCGCACTTTTTGATATATTTGTATATATGTAATGTATATATGTATAGGTATATAAGTATATATTAATATTTTATGAGGGGTTAGAGATAAGCTCATATTTGTGGAGTTTTTTAACTTTTAACTATTTAATGTTTAAGTGAACGTTTGTGTGTGTACACATATGTATGCGCGCTCATATATCAATATTTATGTGTGGAAAAAAATGAGAGAGCACGTAAATACTCGCAGTTATTTTCACTTTGTTCGAAAATACATATAGAAATACGCACCGTTTGCTGATTGCGCGGGATAATATGAATATTTATATAAGAGATCTCCACAAATATTGCTTCTTTTATATATATATGTATGTTTTTTTCCTTTTTGGGCGTAAGTGGGGTTAAAAGAAATTCGTTTCTTACTTACGGCTTTATTTGGGCTTTGGGTACTTCTATGGTTGATGATGATGATCCGCATGGACTGTTGCGGGCTGGTGTCAAAAGGAGGCGACGAAGGACCAAAATCGGAGCGTGCAAGAGGGCTGCGTTAGTTGTGGGCGACGGAGCGACGGATATCGGGTGGCACTAGTTGGAGGATATGGGCGACTGGAAGGCGATGCGTTGTCTTCGCTTGAAGGTATAGATGCTGGTCCGGGGGTTTTCTGCTCGACTGGCTGGAGTCACCGATTTTAAACCGCATTCCAAGTCCCTATTTTTTTTAAATTGGTTAAAAATAATAAAAGCAATTAATTTTTTTGTTACATAATTTGCCGTTCGGCTTGCTTTGTGCATTAAAACTGTTTTTGATTTTGTCGTTTAATTGTTTGTTTGGCTTGGTTTGTGCATTAAAACTGTTTTTGATTTTGTCGTTTAATTGTTTGTTTGGCTTGGTTTGTGCATTAAAACTGTTTTTGATTTGGTCCTTTAATTGTTTTTTGTTTAAACAGCCTTATTTAAAAAAAAATAGGGACTTGGAAAGCGGTTTAAAAATTGGTTAAAAATAATAAAGACAATTAATTTTTTTTGCATAATTTGCCGTTCGGCTTGCTTTGTGCATTGAAACGGTTTATTCTTTTGTCGTTTTATTGTTTTTTGTTTAAACAGCCTTACTTTAAAAAAAATAGGGACATGGAAAGCGGTTTAAAAATTGGTTAAAAATAATAAAAACAATTAATTTTTTTGTTACATAACTTGCCGTTTGGCTGTTTTGTGCATTAAAACTGTTTTTGATTTAGTCCTTTAATTGTTTTTTGTTTAAACAGCCTTATTTAAAAAAAACAATAGGGACTTGGAAAGCGGTTTAAAAATTGGTTAAAAATAATAAAA